TTTAAAACCGCCGAGCGTTCTGGGCCTCCTCTCGATGTTATGCCCGATCGGGAGAATGACTGACTATGATTTGTTCGTCTTCAGCCCTGACAGGCCCGCGAAGAACTCTAGCAGCTTCTCCGCTTTGGCGATTTGCCTCTTTCCCTCCAGAAATAGCATTGTGTCGTCGGCATAACCGACATATGCTAACCGTTGATTTGCCATGTTGCAGAGACCCAGCTTCCTCCGGACTGCTTCTTGCGCCAGGGGCTCCACCGCACAGAAGAAAAGGTAGGGAGCAAGCGGATAACCCTGCCGCATCCCCGACCTGACTTCCACTGCTTCGCCTAGCCAGCCATTTATCAGCAACCTCGTCCTGGTGTCCTTGTGCAGGCCTTCCACCCAGCCAAAGAATCTCTCCGGGAACCCCCTCTCTGAGGACAGAGAAAAGGATGCTTCGTGACACAGAGTCGAAGGCCTTGCGGAAATCCACCAACAGCATGTACCAGTCCTTATTCCCCTTCTTTGCCGCCTCAACCACGTAAGCAACCACTCCGATGGCGTCCGAGATCCTTCCACCGGGGATGAACCCGTACTGTTCCGCCGAGATCACCTTATGCAGATGTTGTTTCATTCGGTTCGCCACCACTCACGCCAATACTTTGTACGTGAAATTCAGAAGGGTAATCAGACGGTAGTTGTCCAGGTTTTCCTTCTCCCCCTTTTTGTGGAGCAGGATGGTAACAGCCTCTTTGATGCTTGCAGATAATGACGTGGTGCCAGCAAATGATTGCGCCATTCGAAGGAACTCCCCGCCAAGAATGTCCCAATTCCGCTCAAAAAGTTCTTTCGGGAGCCCATCTTTCCCCGGGGACTTTCCATCCGCAAGCGCCTTGAAAGCCTGCTTCACCTCTGCCTCCGACCAGTCTGCTGCCAGCCCATCCGCAGCTTCCGCGTCCAGCTTCCTGCCGGCGAGCGGTTTCCACCTTGCTGACGATGTCCGACCATCAGTACCGAAGAGATCGGTGAAACACTGGGTCGCAGCCTTCAGGATCCCATGTGAGTCAGAGATCTTAGAGTCCTCGACAACCAGCTCCGTTATCTGCGTTTTCTGCTTCCGGACCTTGACCCGTGCTGAGAGGAAAGGAGAGGGGACTTTCCCAGCCAACTCTGTATTTGTCCCTGTCATCACGTGAATCCTGTCTCTCCGTGACGCGTAGTACTCCTTCAGCTGTGTATCTCTGATGTGAAGCAGGTCCCTTGTTTTTTGACACCCGGGATTCCTCATCTGCTCCTAATGGAGCTCAGCCACCACTTCTGCGAGATGAGGCGTTGTTTTGCTCCTTCATATAGTACCGTAGCCCTGCGTTGAGTCTTCCCAAAAGTAGCTCAATATTCCCATCTCTTTCAGCAGCCGCTTTCGCCAGAGCAGCTTCAACAGCTTTCCGAATCCTGTGTCTGCCTAAGGCGGCAGCATGTAACCTCCAGATGCCAGGGCCCAGGTGACACGAGGCTTTGATTTTGAGGGCTATTTTTATTCCAAAACCGTGATCTGGGATATACTCTTGGGGTCTTATGTGTGCAGCTATGTCAAGGTGCGGCAAAAGCGAGCAGGAAACGAGGGCGCGGTTAATGCGAGAGCTGGATTGTTTGGATGCGGCGTAAAAGGTGTACTCTCTGAGCTTAAGGTGCAGCGCGCAGAAGGCATCGGTTAGCTGAAAGCGGCAGCAGCGTGAGATAAGCCTATCGTTTTCTAGTGATGTGCCGGCTTGGGACGTTCGGTCTAAGATCGGGTCTTCCACTGTGTTCAGGTTGCCTATGAGAACTACATGTGCGGTGGAAGGGATCTGATCAAAGGCGGGGCCTATTACGTTCGTAAGAAAAGTGCATCTGTCAGTTGCGTCTGGGGGGAAGCAAGCGGCGATGAGGGTGAGGGAGAAGCCTAAGCGACTGGCATCAGCTATTATTAGCCTCCCGGATGGGTGAGTTTTAATGTTTTGGAAGAGGATGGCGGGATCTCTCGCTAGGATGGCTACTCCTCCGGCTTTGTCAGTGGGTGGGGTTGTGAGGACTATGGTGAAGGCGGTTGTTTTCCAGTAAGAGTGGTCATCACGTAATCTCATGTCAATGAGAACAGTGATGTCTGCGGCTGTTCTGGACCAAGTTGTAACTCTGTCTTGCTTTGTTCTGTCACCCAGGCCATTGACGTTTAGGCCTGTTAAAGAGAAGAATTTTTTGTTACTCATTTAATCATTGGCTGGCAGCCCGTGTTCATCCACAAGCTGAAGATGGTGACTACACTGACTACAATACTCCATCCGACGATTGAGAACAGCACACGGGTGTGGTGAGAGCGGAAGTGCGCAGTGAGGCAGCTGCGAGCGCAACAGAGATCGTCAGTAAGGAAAGAAAGAGGTAAGGCGGTGGAGTCATGAGAAAAATCTATGATGTTACCATTGATGCTATGAGCCTTTCCCAGGATAAGGTTCCACTTCCCTATATTGTTCTGCCGCTCTGTGGTGAACAGATCATGATGGATATCATAATGCTGTCCGCCGCATAGCAGGCAGGACAGTGCAGGGTAGTGGACCAACAGCTTCCCGCCGGTCTCCATCGGGTTGTCAACGACATGACGCCAGCGGTAACGATCCCCAGGGTGCTGAATGACCAAGCCTTTGATCACGTCAGTATCAGCTCCGGTAAGTGGGTGGACCACACGATGGAAGGCGAGACCATCCTTGAATGCAGACTGCTTTTGCATCTTCAACTTGAAACGGACAAGCAAGTCCTTCAGCACATCCGGAACGATGTTAGCAGGTACACGACGGAAAAGCACTTCGACAGCAAGCGGGTGAGCAGCCTTCTCCTTAAGGTAAGAAGCGTCTTCCGTATGCTGCCAGATGCATTTATTCGTTGGAGCATTGGACTTCTGGCATTCGAAGACGTGGGACTTGATATAGTGAGCATCACGTTCTTCAAGAACTGAAATTTGGAGTCGACAGAAACGCGTTTTTGCCACAAATCCCGGTGTCATTTCCTAGATGTTGGCAGCGACTCCGGCATTCTCAGTCAGGGACGAGCTCCAAACCTTCGTCATCTGGAGGCGGACGGCTGCAATAAGAGCTTTAGTCTCCTGAGACAGCACCATCGGGATAAGTAAGATTGCGGTGAAACGAAGACGGAAAGCATCCTCTTTTGCAATGTCGATTTCCAGCTCTTCGTCCAAGTCGTCCTCCAGGAAGTCATCAATTGCTGCCAAAGGAGCCTGGTACGCCTGACTCTTCTCTTCCACGGTCAGACCAGAACTTCCAGGGACATTGTCCATGACCTCCACAGCAGTATCACCAGTAACCTTGGCCTTCTCCTTTGCAGTGACATTGCCCGTTGCCATGGAGGTGGTCGTGTTAGCCGTATCAGCCAATCCTTTCGTTCCAGTGTCTTCCCCAGCACGTACCAGCGTAATAATCGGGTCCGTAAGGAGGTCATCCGGGAGCGTAACATCTGCAGTCGCCTTTGTTGTAAGCTTGGGAGGCATGGTGCGATGATGACGACCAGAAAGCAGCCAGAAAAGGTCTGACAGCAAGCGAGCAGACCAAGAAGCTTGTGAAGCTTGTGAAACTGATGCTGCTGGAGTACTGAGCACCACCTCCTTATAACAGATCCTTTGCGTCAGGGCCTTGCTTTCTTATTGGAAATGAAGGACTCCCGAGGTGATCGCCTTGGGATCTCGCCTTGAAGTTTGATAAAGTATATAAGAGAGCCAGTGTTGTGTTGTAGTGAAGACTTCATGTCGTAAAACTTCAAAAAGGCCCGGAAAGTTTCCGGCAGAATCAAGAGACCCTGGATAATGGTTAGCTTGAAATATGCTTGCAGCTTTGAGATGCACCTGAGTAGTCGAGGTGAAACTTATACCCTCTGCTTCGTAATGTACTCGGGACTTCAGATCTTGTTACGAATGAACTTGCAGAGTGCGCAGAATATCGAATAACGAGAATAAACTCAAAGAACTGACGATACAATGAAAATGACGAGGCCTAAATAGGGGAAGTCCTAGCTAGGCGGGGAGGTTGGGCGAGGATGGCTCGGTGATGGTTGCGATTGGTGCGGAGGCGACTCGGGAGTGGTTCGGTGCGACGAAATAGGAAGGACAGGTTCGTCGCGTGACCCTCGGGATGGCCTCGCTAACGAGTGCCTCAGTAAGGATTCTGTAAATCCTTACAGATCTGTTCTCAGAGTTACCAACTGATAAGTAACCTTCACGAAACAGACTCTCAAACAGGCCTGTCGATTCAAGGGCATATGCCCTTAATGCCCTGAACATTCCGGGCTACTTTCGCTCCAGCTCGACTGCCAAAAGTGTTAGATTCGCACTGCACCCGTGCCACTAAGTACCGCGCTCGACCCTTCCCCGGATGCGTTAAGGGCCCAAACTAGGCCTTCCCCTGTCTCGAAGTTTTGGTTTTTGGTTGTAGGACCCACCACCCCCCCAAATTCTGCCTGACCCCACCCCCTTTCTCCTTAGGTTCCACGAGAGGAGTGGATTTTTCCCTTAGCATTTTCTAGGCAATCCTGTGTTTGTAAAGCGTCTAAGTGTCCCCCCCCCCCCCCCGAATTGTCCCTTATTGTCTAAGTGACCCCCCCCCCTCCCCCCCGCCCTTTCCTCCTTGGGTTGCACGAGAGGAGTGGATTTTTCCTTGGCGTTTTCTAAGCCAGCTTGGAGCACCCGAATTTCCCCTTGGCGTATGAGTGTCCCCCCCCGCCCCCCACCTTTCTCCTTAGGTTGCACGAGAGGAGTGGATTTTTCCCTTAACATTTTCTAGCCATCCTGCGTTAGTAAAGTGTCTAAGTCAGCTTGGAGCACCTGAATCCCTTAGCGTCTTTAAAGCCCAAGACCTGAATTACTCAACGGAAGTCAACGCTAAATACTAGGTTCGGGAGGCAGGCACGAAGAGGTTCGGTTGGGTTGCGAGAGACTTTCACTCGCGAAACCAATTTGCGACAAAAGTTTCTCGCTTCCCATGATGGGTGGGGTCCTTCCCACAACCAGAAAAGCGCGTGCATACCAAACTGTGCACAGTTTGAGACAGCACGCTGGGTATTAGGTATAGAGCATACCTGTAGACAGGGCAGGGCATCGGCGTTCACTCAAAAGGGATCAGATGCACCTTATGATGTGGGTGGCGCCGATTTCGGTGATGACGCGCAAAGCTAGTGTTCGCTAGGTAAAGATTTTTGTGTCGAAATGCAGGTTATTGTGCAACTACTGCGTAGCGTAAACTCGCGGCGAAAATCAAATCGCACCTGTTCGCCCAAGCGTGACAATCCCCTCGCCCTCGCCTTCCTTTCCCTAGGTCACATGCATCTGCTCTCTGTCGCCGGCGTCGTCGCCATCGCTTCCGCAGCTCGTCGCGTTCGCGACCCCAGCCCGTCGCCTTCGATCCGCCCGTCGCCTTCACTTCCCCCCCCGTCGCCCCTACTCGCCCCCCTCCCCCCGCTCCGTTGCCTTCATTTCCCCCTCCCGTCGCCTTCACTTCCCCCTCTCGTCGCCTTCACTTCCCTCTCTCGCCGCCTTCACTTCTCCCCCTCCCGTGGCCTTCACTTCCCCCCATCCCGTTGCCTTCACTTCCCCCCATCCCGTCGCCTTCACTTCCCCCCCGGAGTGTTCGCCTTCACTTCCCCCCCTCTCGTCGCCTTCTCTTCCCCTTCCCGTCGCCTTCTCTTCCCCTTCCTGTCGCCTTCTCTTCCCCCTCCCGTCGCCTTCAATTCCCCCTTCCGTCGCCTTCACTTCTCCCCCCCGATGCCTTCAATTCCCCCTCCGGTCGCCTTCCCCGCATGCCGCACTTGCTTTCCCGCCCTTCACACTTGCTTCCCCACCCGTCGCCTTCACTTCCCCTTCCATTGCCTTTCGCTCTCTCCCTGCTCACTCTCTTTCCCACTGCTCACTCTCTTCCCCCCTGCCCACTCTTTTTCCCACCCTTCACTCTCTCCTCTCCTGTTCACCCCCTGTTCTCACCCCTCTTCCCCCCTTCACTCAACCGTTCCCCCCTGCTCAACCTCTTTCCCTCTGCTCACTCTCTTCCCCCCTGCTCTCTCTCTTTAACCCGGCTCACACTCTCCCCCTCCCCCTCCCCCCACTCTCTTTCCCCCTGCTCACTCGCTTCCCCCCTCCTCAATCTCTTTCCCCTGCTCATTCTCTTTCCCTCTGCTCACTCTCCTTGTGCTCACTCCACTTTCCCCATTTCTCACCCATTTTCGCCTTCACGCTCTCTTACCCCCTCCGCTATCCCCTGTTTTCCCGGCTCACTCCTATACTCACTCTCTCCTCCCCTGCTCACTCACTTCCCCCCTGCTCACTCTCTTTCCCCTTGCTTACTCTCTTCCCCCCCTACTCACCTTCTTTCCCCGTGTTCTCACCCCTCTTTCCCCCTTTCTCACCCATTTCCCCCCTGCTCGGTCTATTTCCCCCCTGTGCTCGTTCCTAAATTCCCCTGCTGACTCCCTTACCCCCTGTATTCACCCATCGTTCCTATTTCCTCTTGTTCACTCTCTCCCCCTCTGCTCTCTCTCTTTCCCCCTGTACTCACCCATTTTTCCACCTTGTTGTCTCTCTATTCCCCTTCATTCAACCCCTTTTCCCCCCCAAGTCCTCTCATTTCCCCTGTTCACATCCCTCCTTAGCCCCATGCTTACGGGCTATCCCCTTTGCTTACCCCCTTCTCCACCCTGCTTACTCTCTTTCCCGCTTCGCTCACTTTGCCTAACTCCTCCCATACATGCCCTCCACCTTCACCCCTCGTGTATTCTACCATATCCCCTCTTCCCTCCCCGTTCCTTCCAAACCCATGCTTGTACAAGTTCCCAGGACCATGGGTCCCAACAGGAGTGGGTTGAAAAGTTACCAACTCCTAGCTTTGTGCTTGTGCTTATTTAGTCTTGTCTTGTCTTGTTTTGTGATGTGGTGTATTATGAGACGCATCCAACCAATATCAATAACAATACACTGTATAGCTATTGTAGACGCCTAGTATCATCAAACCCTATACTCATCACGACTGGATGCATGGCAGACCTGCATAGACACGAACCACAAACTCTGATGCACGGTGGGGAACAAAGAATGCACGGAGGCAGAAAATGAGCAAGGGAGACACGGAGGAAGGGCGGATGAGATGATGGGCGGATGAGATGATGGGGGGATGAGATGATGGGCGGATGAGATGATGGGGGGATGAGATGATGGGGGGATGAGATGATGGGGGGATGAGATGATGGGGGGATGAGATGATGGGCGGATGAGATGATGGGCGGATGAGATGATGGGGGGATGAGAAGATGGGGGGGTGAGATGATGGGGGGATGAGATGATGGGCGGATGAGATGATGGGGGGATGAGATGATGGGCGGATGAGATGATGGGGGGATGTGATGATGGGGGGATGAGATGATGGGGGGATGAGATGATGGGGGGATGAGATGATGGGCGGATGAGATGATGGGGGGATGAGATGATGGGCGGATGAGATGATGGGGGGGATGAGATGATGGGGGGATGAGATGATGGGGGGATGAGATGATGGGCGGATGAGATGGAGGACGGGAGGAAGGGAGGACGGGAGGAAGGGAGGACGGACAACAGAGAGGGTAAAGAGGGTAGTGAGGCAAAGAGATGGAGGAAGGGAGGAAGGGAGAGGGAGGGGAGGACGGCTGAGGGGGAACGACGGAACGGAGTAAGGGAGGAGGGCAAGAGGTAAAAGTGTGGCAGGGTATAAGGGGGATAGGAGGATCCCTGCACCCTCTCTCCCTCATCCCCGCCTCCCCCGCTCCCCTAACCCGCCCCCTGCAGCACTGCACTCCTTGCTGCCCGCCTGCGCGCGCTGCCCTGGCTGTGCCCCCAACACTCTGCTCCAAAGCCTCATCACCACCTGCCATGCGTGCGGGGTCGGTGCGAGAGAGGAGAGGAGGTCAGTGCAAGAGAGAAAAGGGTGGGTGCTGCTGACCACGCACCCTTCCACACCCCACAGCGAACGAGCCACGACCCCTTTCCCAGCTCCCAGCCCAGCCCGCCATACCTCCCCGCCCAGGGTGGGTGAGAGGCTGATGGGGAGGGAGAATGAGAAGAAGGAAATAAGGGTGCAAGGGTGGGGTGGTCACCATGGGCGATGGTCGGAGTAGAGAAGGTGGTAATAGGGAAGGAGTACAACGACGACCCTAAATGCGATGGGAAGGGATGAGAGGGTGGAGACGCGACGGTGAAGAGGGGGAACGTGATAGGCAGGGGAGTGATGACGACGTGGAGAGAGGTGGGAGAGAAGGGAGGTCGACGGTGGGAGGAAGAGGACGACGGTGGGAGGAAGCGTGGCTGATGAGAGGGGAAGCGTGGGAGAAGGTAGGGGGAAGCGTGAGCGACGATGGGTGGGAGCGTAAGCGACAGTGGGGGAAAGCGAGGGCGACGGTGAAGGTGGTGACGGGAGGGGGAGCATGGGCAACGACGGAATGAAGTGTGAGCGACAGCGGGAGGAAGCGTGGGCGACGGTGGGGCGAAGCGTGGGGGACGCGGAAAGCGATAGACAACATAGGAGGAGAGCGATCGGAGACATAAAAGTAGCGACATCGGGCACGGCGACGTCGACGAGAGGAAGCGTGGGTGACGGGACGTGACGTCGACGAAGAAGCGCGGGAGTGGGCATAAAGCTGAGGCAAACATAGGGCGAATGCGCAGGAAATGACAGCGATCGACAGTACGATTCTTATCGATCTCGGAGAGGGAGATGCATGCGCCGCAAACTGGCGTTTGCGCAGTCGCACAGGGTTTCGACGACGATGCTGAGTAATAATCGGGCCCATCGCAACACTCTGATCATCATACATAATTGGTTTCTCCGTCCTATTTTTTTGTGGAGTGGCCTCCGGCTTCATTGGCTCCTCTGTTCTACCTAAGAGTGCGTGCGTGCGTGAGTGTCTTAGCTTGACCTGAATTACAACTATTTTCAAACTGTCAACAGCCTAGCTCTATTCCCTTGGGGAGAGAGCGGTTGGGACTCTCGCCAACCAGATCTGTGCTGCTCTACGACTCCCTGCTTTTTTGCGTGGTGTTTTTTGGTAACCAGAGAGGCTCGGAAGTCAACTGTGGGCTCGGGAGGCAAACTGTGCACAGTTTGCCTTCTTTTTTTTGTAATTCAGGTCTTGGGCCTTAAGTGCCGCCCCCCCCCCCCCCCCCTCCCTTTCTCCTTAGGTTGCACGAGAGGAGTGGATTTTTCCCTTAGCGTTTTCTAGCCATCCCGTGTTTGAAAGTCAGCTTTAGAGCACCCAAAATTTCCCTTCGCGTCTAAGTGCAAACTCTTCACAGGCCCGGATTTTAAGTTTTCACTTTGGGGTGCGCCCGTGACCGTTAAGGGCGCCCAAACGCTCAGCTACACCAAAAACGGGGTCAGATGGGGAGGAGCTGGGGAGCGCAAGTATGGGACCCAGGAACTTCGACAGGCCTGCTCTCAAAGTTCCGAGGTAGAATCCATGGCGGCCTTGTCACTTTCAGCATGAAACTTAGCGAACTGGATTCTGGGTCTTGCTGCTCAATTGATCTAGAGTTCCCAAGGAATCAAGGGTGTCTCAGTTGGAGTGCGCTGGAGATGAAGAGTTCATCCCTCTTTGCCGCTTTGAACCAGGCGAAAACGTTGGGATTCGACAGCACACCAACTTGAGCTCGACGATGGGTGGTGAAAGGAATCCTGGTCTGGTACATTTGAGCGAAACTGAACCAACACAGCCCTTCGTTCCGGTCAGTGCGTTCAAGTTCGCTCTTTTTCGTAGATCACGTTAGTGATTTCACGATGCCGACTTTTGCAAGATCATGTTACCACCAGGGTCAAAATGCCGTGCAGAAATTCCGACACTGTGCGCTGGTTACCCGAAGGAACTGACCTGGTTCAGTCTTCTGTGCGTGTGGACTGGCTCCTGTCGACGAAGGAACATCCACACTTGCTGCCATTGCTTAGTTTCGAGCAGCGTCGAAACTGGCAGCTTATTCTTGGAATATGTGTTGACCTTGCTTTAGGCACCAAAAAGCGAGAGGCGTAAGAGCACGATGGGGAAGAAGCCAACTGCTTTTTCACACGGAAATGGGCTGGATGTAACCGAAACCGCGAGAATGGAAAAGCATGCAGCCAGGGCTGCCTTATTTGTAGAAAGAGGAAGCGCATCATCAGGCGAAGCAACACTAGCAACGCGATACTCTGCTGACCCAGGCACGCGATTCCCAGCGACGGAAGATTCGCAACCTGCCAATTCAATGTTAACGATATCATTAAGGACGGAATCGAACGAAGCAGCATTGATCGGGTCAGCCGCATCACTACCCGCTACTGTTACATCAGCAAACGGTCCTCCCCCAACAGAAGCATTATCAGAATCAGAATCGGCGCGCTCGTCGGCAATACCGAGGGCCGTATTAGATCATTCGCCCGCGCACAGCCTCCCCCAGCCTCACATCGCCCCGCAGGGAAGCAGCACCGCTGTCGCCCCAGCCCCGGCTATCCGTCGCCCGGGATATTTTGCTACAAGATCCGAACTCGGTATAAGCTCAGACCTCGGTATAATCTCGGAATCAGGCCCAAACGGTTACAGTACACTATCGGAATTAGGCCCAGGCGGCCCAAATCCAACCACCAGCACGCAGGCAGCGGCGAATGGAAAACAAAACCCATTCGGTACAGTCACATCCGCAGGCGCCGCTGCAGCCGTGGCTGCGTTACAAGCACGCAAGCACTGGGTGAGCAGGGTACAGGAAGGGTTACCCCAGGCGGCGGTGGTGGTGCTGCGGGTGCTGGTGGTGGTGGCGGCTGCTTGGAGCGCGTGTGCTGTGATGTTCTTTTCCCTCGTTATAATGCCCTGGGTTATGCTCCACCTCTCCACCTCCTCCCACCCGCACTTCCGCGCCCTTCGCTTCAATCACACCCCCGTTGAGGCGCTTTCAGCTGCTGCAGGGGAGAAAGGACAAGGAAGCGGAGGAGAAGGAGGAGGGAAAGTAGGAGGGATTGTGGGGGGGAGTGGGTGGGGAGTGAGAAAGGGGGAGGTGTGGAGGCCGAGGAGGGGAGAGGGGGTGTGTGAGCTGGGGAGAGGGGATTGGCAGATGGAGAGGGAGGGATATCCGCTGTACGCAGCAGAAGACTGTCCCTTCATTAGTGGCACATTCAACTGCCTGGTGAGGAGGGAGGGTGAGTGATCTTTGAGCAGAATGAAAAGGGTGTATAGGGTTAACGGGTGTATAATATCCGTTTTTTGCAGCAGAAGAGTGTATGTTTCTCAATAAAACATTCAACTGTCTGGTGAGGAGAGATTGTGAGCCTTGAGTTGATTCATAATGGTATCGATTTTGTTATTTGAAGCAGGAGATTGTTCCTTCGTTAGTGAAACATTGAATTCCTGTGAGGGTAGCTTTGCAGTGACTTTGACTATCTCCAATTCGCCTGGCGAGAGAGCGAGCGCATCCCTTCGTCGTTAGTTTGTTGCTTTTCTCCTCGTCCCTCTTCCATCCCCCCATCCCAACTCCCCCCCTCCTCTTCCCTCTCTGCTTCCGCTGCCTCCCCGCCCCCCCCGTCCCCCAGGACAACAGCTGCACGGACTTTGACTATCTCCGCTTTGCCTGGAGGGAGAACGAGTGCGCCCACCCATTCACCCACCCACCTCCCTCTCCCCTCCCCCCGTCCCCCAGGAATGGCCGAACAGGCTTTGACTATCTCCACTTTGCCTGGCGAGAGAGCGAGTGCGCCCACCCGTTCACCCTCACGCACGCCCCCCTCTCCCACCCCCATCTCCAACCGCAGGAGAATGGCCGTACCGACTTTGACTATCTGCATTTCGCCTGGAGAGAGAGCGACTGCGCCCACCCGTTCACTCGCTTCCGAGCGGATCGCTTCTTCGAGGCCTTCCAGAACCGTCGGATCGTGTTCGTGGGCGACTCTACACTGTTGTCGGTACGGTCCATTTAAAGATTCTATGCGGCCCCGCAATAGTCGATTCTGCGGGTCACTCTCTGCATGTCTCTCGATATGTTCAATTTCAGTGTAATCTCTGTCCCTGGTTTCTTTCCTTCCCCTTCCCCCTCATTCGTTTGCTCCATCCATCCATCCATCCATCCATCCATCCATCCATCCATCCATCCATCCATCCATCCATCCATCCATCCATCCATCCATCCATCCATCCATCCATCCATCCATCCATCCATCAGCTTTTCAGCTCGCTCTTTGACCTCTGCCCATCACCACCACTCATCTCTAACCACCATAACATCTCCCCCTGCCCATCTCCACTCCCCTCTCTTATTTTCTCTCTCCCTCGATCCCTTGCTTGCAGATGTTCCAGTCGCTGCTCTGCCTGCTCTCAGTGGGTCCCTCCCTCCCACCCAATCACAGCATGCCAACAGAGCGACTCAACCGCACCTTCCCCTCCCTCCTCCACCCCCCTTCCTCGTCTCCATCCCTTCTATCCTCCTACTCCTCCTCTCCCCTCACCTCCTCCTCATCCTCATCCTCAGCTGCTTCCCCTGCAGGCTCCAAGTCCCAAGCCTCCACTCCTCTAGTATTCCAATACACATTCCCTCATGCCAACACAAGCCTTGACTTTTTCCACTCTGACTTTCTAACCGTCCTGGAATCCGCCCCTTCACATGCTCCTGGGCAATCAGATACACCTGCCCCAGACACGCCTCCTGCTAGTATGGCTGTTCCAGATACGCCTAATCCTTCATTGACCAAGAATATGCATGAGGGCATCAATAACAGCAGTATTAATGCCACCAATATCGTTGCTAGCTTTGGTAGCAGTAGCAACGCAGGCATTGGCAGAAGTCTTCTCACAGATACTTCTGAAACCACCCAGGAGCCAGGTTCGGATGGGTTGAATGCGGTGGAGCTGGGTTCGGACAGGTCAGGTGCAGCAAAGCCAAGTTCGGAGGGGTTGGGAGCGGTGAGAGTGGTGCGGCTGGATGCGTGGGCGGCATATGTGGTGGCAGCACAGCCGCATGTGCTGGTGATTCACACGGGAGGCGCGTGGGTGGGGTTGCAGCAGCGATGGCAGGAGCATAGGGCGCGAATACATGCTTCTCAGGAGGGGCAGAAGGGGCAGGAGGGGCAGGAGGGGCAGGAGGGGCAGAGTGCAGCGAATGAATCAAAGGTTTTTGCTGCTGTGGCTGGTAAAGGAGTTGAGGGAGGGATGCGTGAGGAGAAAGTGGGAGCAGAAGGCAAGGTGGAGGTTGGTGGGGGAAAGAGGAAGGCTGGAGGGGGAAAGGGGGAGCCTGGTGGGGGAAAAGGGGAGGTTGGTGGGGGAAATTGGAAGGCTGGAGGGGGAAAGGGGGAGCCTGGTGGGGGAAAGGGGGAGCCTGGTGGGGGAAAAGGGGAGGTTGGTGGGGGAAAGGGGAAGGCTGGAGGGGGAAATGGGGAGCCTGGTGGGGGAAAAGGGGAGGTTGGTGGGGGAAAGGGGAAGGCTGGTGGGGGAAAAGGGGAGCCTGGTGGGGGAACTGGGGGGAATGGCGGGGGGAATAAGGGGACGGGTGAAAAGGCGAAGGGAAAGGGTGGGGGGAAGAAGGGGAATGGTGGGGAGAAGAGGGGGAATGGTGGGGAGAAGAAGGGGAGTGGCGGGGAGAAGAAGGGGAGTGGAGGGGAGAATAGGGGGAATGGTGGGGAGAATAGGGGGAATGGTGGGGAGAATAGGGGGAATGGTGGGGAGAATAAGGGGAATGGTGGGGGGAATAGGGGGAATGGCGGGGAGAATAGGGGGAATGGTGGAGAGAATAAGGGGAATGGCAGGGAGAATAGGGGGAATGGTGGAGAGAATAAGGGGAATGGTGGGGAGAAGAAGGGGAATGGTGGAGGGAAGAAGGGGAATGGTGGAGGGAAGAAGGGGAATGGTGGAGGGAAGAAGGGGAATGGTGGAGGGAAGAAGGGAAACAGTGGGGGAAATGGAGTCGATGGTTGGAAAAACAAAGGTAGCGGTGGTGGTAAACAGGGCAATGGCGGGGGCTATCAGGGCAATGGCGGGGGCTATCAGGGCAATGGCGGGGGAAATCAGGGCAACGGTGGGGGGAGCAAGGAGGCCGGTCAGGGAAATGACGGGGGGAATGGGGGCAAGGGTGGGGGGAGCAAGGAGGTCGGTCAGGGAAACCAAGGGAATGGTGCGGGAAGAAAGGGGAACAGTGTGGGGGATAACAAAATCAGTGCGGGAAGCAAAGGGAATGGTGGGATGGCATTGGGAGACAATAGTAAAGCTGGGCAGAAAGGAGGCGGGACAGGAAAGCAGGCAGGCAGTGAGATGAAGAAAGCGGGAGGGAAAGGGGAGAGCAGTGGTGATAAGGCGAAGGAGAAACGCAAGGCTGTGGCAGAGGTGCAAAAAACGGGTGGACGAGGGGGAGGAGGAGGGAAGGTTGAGAGATTGAGGAAGGCTGGAGGTCAAAAAGGAATCAAGGAAGGTGAGAGAAGACGATGGGAAAAGCAGGAGCCTGGGTCTGGGGGACAGGGTAAGCAAGGCAAGGGGCAAAAAAGGCAAGGCAAGGGGCAAGGGAAGCAAGGAGAGGGGAAGCGGCAGAAGGTTGGGGAAAAAGTGGAGGAGGGGGTGATGAAGCAGGGTGGTGATAATGGTGGCCAGACAGCCAGTGGAGGAGGAGGAGGGGACACCACGAGTGGTTCTCAGACTGATCCGTTTGCAGGAGGGGAGTTGCGAATGGGCGACTTCGGTGATGATGATGCCATTCTGCAGGGTGACAGTATTGAGAATGACAGTAGCAGCAGTGGCAGCAGCGTTTCAAACAGCAGCAACAGCACAACCAGCAACGGTTTCACTACCAGCAGTCCCGGTAGCACTACCAGCAACGTCCAGAGCAGCAATAATAAGAGTCTTAGTAACCTCAGCATCAACCCCTCTAACATCGGCAGTGGGGGTGCCAGGGACAGCCACAAGGAGGGGAGGAAGGGGGGGGAGAGGAGTAAGAGGGGGAGGGGGAGGATTGGCAAGTGGCTGTGGCGGCACCGGCACCTGCTGAGCTTCCCAGAAAGCACAGAGAGTGTCCATAGGGAAGACGATGAAAGTGATTCTTTTCGTTCCCACATGCCTCTGATTCTGACTCCCATGCCACATGTTGACTCACCTGCGAGTGCAGGCAACATGTCGATACTTGATGGAATGGACGGTGCGGATGAAGCAGGGTCCCTTGGTAGCATGGACGGATCAGATGCAGCGGAGGGGGGTTCAGGTGAGGCAGTGGGTGGATCGAAATTGGAGGAAGGTGATGTGAGATTAGAGGAGGAGGAGCAGCAGACAGGCGGAAGCTTTATGGCGGATGAAGCTGACATAGTCCTAGAGGAAATGTCCGAAGCGAGCTCTTCAGTCGGTCGGGGCAGCTTCCTTGATGAGGATAGGCCGGTGGAAAATGATGAAGTGCCGGAGCAGCAGCAGCAGCAGGGCGGGAGTGTCATGGCGGACGAAGCTGACCAAGTCCAAGAGGAGATGTCTCAAGGTAGACTCTCAGAAGGAGAAGTGATGCCTTCAGTCAATCAAGTTACGTTTGATGAGGAGGGTGAAGCGGCGAAAGAGGATGCAGTGCAGGAGAAGGATAACGAATCTCATGTTGTTACAGGTGCAGAGAATGACAAGGAAGTTCGTGGGGAGGATGTGCATAACGAGGCTGCTAATAAGGAGGATGAGTCACCTGGAGGGCCTAGTGTGCTCCCACCTAACCTGCTTGACTCGGTTGACTTTCTTGACCCGGTAGCAGCATTCACCAAGACCCTGCGCATGCTGCACCACTTCCTCTCCTCCCAACCCACCGCCGAATCCCTCCCAACTTTCTTTCTCGGGCTGCCCCGAGAACATTATTTCCGGGCAGACCAGGGCAACCATACCTCGCTCTGCCTGCCAGACGACGTCACATGTAAAGAAAACGGACAGTGTAGCTTGTTTTCGAGGCCGAGAGAGTGGTTGGAAGAGGGAGGGGAGGAGCAGGCACACCAGCAACGGTGGCAGCGGTGGCGGTGGCGGCAGGAGAGGGAGAGGAGGGAAAGAAGGAGGGAGTGGGTGCACTCGAGTGTGGGGCAGATGGAAAGGGTGGTTGAGAGGGAGATTGGGATGGGAGACAGGGTTGTGTTGCTGCAAGCAGGGGGGTTAACCGATGCTCGTGTTGATGCTCATGTGGGCTCTTCCCTCCCTGCAGAAATGCGTGTGGGGGAGACAAAAAAGGAAGATTGCAGTCACTTTTGTGTGCCTGGAGTGCCGGACACATGGAATGAGATGTTAGTTGCTGCGCTAAGACTACAGGAAATGATGACGTAACAACGAATTGTAACAGTACAGGTGGCATTATGCGTTGTGCCATATGGTGAAACGAAGAGTGAGTGTCATAATCGTGTATTGCATTCATCCATTTGATTACATAGACGTAACAAAAGGAGAGCACATTGAAAACAATACAAGGAGAGCAGGATATTCTATACCTCGAAAGGTTGGTGAAATCTTCACTTGAAAATTCGTGTAAAAGCCAATTCTGTATTCAAAGCTTTTTATAGCGAATCGCAACTGGTGACGCTTCAGCAATCTTTCCCGCCAAAACCCCCATGGCTGCCCGCATGTTGCGCTAACGCGCGCTGATTGTATCCGCATGTGGGCATTTTCTTTCTTTCGACGAGGCCGCCTTCGCGATACCCTCTTCTCGCGTCGCGCTTAGTTCCATAGCTTCGCTGTGAGGTATTGACCTGTCGTTACAGTCACAAGCTTGTATCACCGTTGCCGACCGGAACGAGATTCCACCTTTATTGCACTGCGCAAGATACAATTACCTCTCAATTCGCAACATTTCGTGTAAATCATAACCATTTGGTACCTGGTGGTTACCCAGTGGTTACCACTACCAGCCTATCGGTTCGCCGTCGCCGCTGCTATCTGGTTATCTTCGAGCGACAACTAGCTTACCGTGTACTCCTCCGTCCCAGCACCAGACTGCCTAAGAGTCCTCCGATGTTATAGGTAGTACCGACTTGCTGTCTGCATTCCTATGTGCAACTAATTTAGTTACGGGGTTCGTTCAGACGGTGGCGAAAACAGCCGAATCGAATCCGCGATTGAAATCGTTCATCGTTTCGCTGACTCTCGAATCTGCGACCGCGTGAATAGAGTCGATTTTTGAGTCGACTCACGTGAATAGAGTCGATTTCTGAGTCGACTCAAAAATCGACTCTATTCATCGTTTCGCTGACTCTCGAATCGGCGACCGTGAATCCTGCGACGTCTTTGAGTTTCTGAGTTTCCTCACCTCAAAGTCTTCTATTCCGAGCCTTGTAGTCTCCGAACCTCCCAAGTTTCCAAGCCTCCGACTGTGAGGCTCGGGTCCAATGGGTCGGTCGAGGGGAGCCGGGGAGGAGGACCACGCCCCTAGTGGGGGCTCGAGGTGAGGGGGTGCTCTGTGCGGTGGATGGTATGTTGCTGGTGCGATTAACGGATCAGCTAATAGGGGAGACAGGGAGGAGGATCACACTCCTAGTGAGGGTTCCAGGTGAGGGTTGCTGTGTGTTGCTGGTGCTAGTAACGGTTGAGCTAATGGGGAATATAAGTAGGGAAGAGGATCACGCTCCTGGTGGGGGTTCTAGGTAAGGTGGTGCTCTGTGCGGTGGATGGTATGTTGCTGGTGCGAGTAACGGATGAGGTAATAGGGGAGCCGGGGAGGAGGATCACGCCTCTAGAGGGGGTTCGATTCGAGGTGAGGGGTGCTGTGTGCTCTGGTGCTAGTAACGGTTGAGTTAATGGGTAAGATAAGATCACACTCTGGTGGATGGTATGTTGCTGGCAGGACGCTGTGGGCGGGGGGAGCTGGGTTTGCATCTTTCCTTTCTACCCCTCACCTCCCCTTTTTCCCACTCACCCTTTCCTCTGCAAACCCTCCCAACTCCCATGCCCCCTTCTCCTTCCCCCAGACCCAAGCGCCGCCGCTATGCCACCACAAGCTGGCAGGACGCCGTGGGTGGGGGGAGCAGCGGGGGGGGAGGCGCAGGGGCGGGGGGGGAGGGCGCAGGCGCAGCAGCAGGGGGAGGCGGGGGGGGACCCGGGGGAGGCGGGGGAGCGGGGGGAACAGGGGGGGGAGCGCGGAAGGGGGTATATCATTGCAACTACTGTCACAGGGATGTGACGGGGGAGGTGCGCGTGAAGTGTGCGGCGTGTGTGGACTTTGACCTCTGCGCTGAATGCTTCTCCGTGGGCGCCGCTGCCCACCCGCACTCCGCCTCGCACCCCTATCATGTCATGGTGAGTGGGGAGAAGGGACGGGGGGGGGAGGGGGAGGAGGAGGGTGATGGAAAGGGAGGGGGAAAAGAAAAGGCGCTGCTGCTTACCCCCACTCTGCCTCCCACCCCTTACCACATCATCGTGAGCGGGGAGGGGAGGGGGGGAAGGGGGAGAAGGAGTGCGAGGGAGAGGGGTCAGGGGAGGGGGAGGGGGAGGGGGGGAGGGGGATGGGGAAGGGGGGGAGGAGGGGAGGGAGAAGGGGGGGTGGGAAGTTGAAGCGAGCGTGGTAAGGGGCACGGGATTCACAAGAGAGGGAGGAGAGGGTTTAGGGAGGGGATGGAGAAAGGGGGAATGGGAGGGGGAAGGAGGAAAGGTGGGCAGACGGGAAGAGAAAAGGTGGGCAGATGGGGAGTGGAAAGGTGGTTAGACTGGGAGTGGGAAGATGGGCAGACAGGGAGTGAGAAGGTGGGCAGACTGAGAGTGAAAAGGTGGGCAGATTGGGAGTGGGAATGTGGGCAGATGGGAAATGGGAAGGTTGCCGGTGGAGAGTGGGAAGGTGGACAGACTGGAAATGGGAAGGTGGGCAAACGTGGAGTGTGAAGGTGGGCAGACGGAGAGTGTCCACCTTCCCACTCCCAGTCTGTCCATCTTCCCACTCCCAGTCTGTCCATCTTCCCACTCCCAGTCTGTCCATCTTCCCACTCCCAGTCTGTCCATCTTCCCACTCCCAGTCTGTCCATCTTCCCACTCCCAGTCTGTCCATCTTCCCACTCCCAGTCTGTCCATCTTCCCACTCCCAGTCTGTCCATCTTCCCACTCCCAGTCTGTCCATCTTCCCACTCCCAGTTTGTCCATCTTCCCACTCCTAGTCTGTTCATCTTCCCACTCCCAGTCTGTCCATCTTCCCACTCCCAGTCTGTCCATCTTCCCACTCCCAGTCTGTCCATCTTCCCACTCCCAGTCTGTCCATCTTCCCACTCCCAGTCTGTCCATCTTCCCACTCCCAGTCTGTCCATCTTCCCACTCCCAGTCTGTCCATCTTCCCACTCCCAGTCTGTCCATCTTCCCACTCCCAGTCTGTCCATCTTCCCACTCCCAGTCTGTCCATCTTCCCACTCCCAGTCTGTCCATCTTCCCACTCCCAGTCTGTTCATCTTCCCACTCCCAGTCTGTCCATCTTCCCACTCCCAGTCTGTCCATCTTCCCACTCCCAGTCTGTCCATCTTCCCACTCCCAGTCTGTCCATCTTCCCACTCCTAGTTTGTCCATCTTCCCACTCCTAGTCTGTTCATCTTCCCACTCCCAGTCTGTCCATCTTCCCACTCCCAGTCTGTCCATCTTCCCACTCCCAGTCTGTCCATCTTCCCACTCCCAGTCTGTCCATCTTCCCACTCCCAGTTTGTCCATCTTCCCACTCCTAGTCTGTTCATCTTCCCACTCCCAGTTTGTCCATCTTCCCACTCCCAGTCTGTCCATCTTCCCACTCCCAGTCTGTCCATCTTCCCACTCCCAGTCTGTCCATCTTCCCACTCCCAGTTTGTCCATCTTCCCACTCCCAGTCTGTCCATCTTCCCACTCCCAGTCTGTCCATCTTCCCACTCCAAGTCTGTCCATCTTCCCACTCCAAGTCTGTCCATCTTCCCACTCCCAGTCTGTCCATCTTCCCACTCCCAGTCTGTCCATCTTCCCACTCCCAGTCTGTCCATCTTCCCACTCCCAGTCTGTCCATCTTCCCACTCCCAGTCTGTCCATCTTCCCACTCCCAGTCTGTCCATCTTCCCACTCCCAGTCTGTCCATCTTCCCACTCCCAGTCTGTTCATCTTCCCACTCCCAGTCTGTCCATCTTCCCACTCCCAGTCTGTCCATCTTCCCACTCCCAGTCTGTCCATCTTCCCACTCCCAGTCTGTTCATCTTCCCATTCCCAGTCTGTCCATCTTCCCACTCCCAGTCTGCCGACCTTCCCAATTCCCCTCACTTTGTACAACACTCTCTTTCTTATATAGTTGGTCCATCAGGCTCGTGTTTTCATCGTTTTATGTTCTCCTGCTCCCGACCAATTTGACATGCGTTAACTTTGCATGAACGCATTCTGACTGTGCGCCACCAACCGCACCAGGACACCATGAGCTTCCCTCTCGTGCATGTGGACTGGACTGCTGACGAGGAGATGCTGCTGCTGGAGGTGAGCCACGCTGCCTTGTTTACCGTTAAGGTTCGTTGTAGAATGGCAATTGAGAAAAGGTGGCAGAGCATGTTCGTGAATGTTTGTTGAGGTTCTAAGAGCACCTCTTGTTGTGCGGGTCAGCCAAGCCAACCTTTTGAGTCGACTCAAAAGTCAGAGCATGTTTGTGAATGTTTGTTGAGGTTCTAAGAGCACCTCTTGTTGTGCGGGTCAGCCAACCCCCCTACCTCTCTTCTCTGCCTCCCTATTTCTCTCCCCGCCCTTACCTCCTCTCTCCCCCCTTTCACACCAACCCACAGGCTCTGGAGATGCACGGAATGGGCAACTAGGGGGAGATTGCAGAGCACGTGGTAATGATATTTCTTCTTACCCGCTCTCCCATCTTCTTCTCCACTCCATATCCTTCCCTCTCATACCGAATTACCACCCACCCCGCACCAACCCACAGGCCCTCGAGATGCACGGAATGGGCAATTGGGGAGAGGTTGCGGAGCGGAGCACGTGGGTTGAGGATAACTCTCCGGTCTTTCTCCCTTCCCCCCTTCTTCTCCTCCCTCTCACGTGCCTCTCTCCGTGCCTCCTCAGGCGCTGGAGATGTACGGAATGGGCAACTGGGGGGAGATTGCGGAGCACGTGGGGTCCAAGAGCAAGACACAGTGCCACGACCACTACCTCTATGATTACCTGCTGTCACCCACCGGTCCCTTGCCTGTGAGTGTGCTGACGGAGCGTGGGATAATGAATGTAAGGGATTATGGGTGTCAGGGAGCGCGAAGAACAAGACACATTGCCACGACCACTACCTCTACGACTACCTGCTGTCACCCACCGGTCCCTTGCCCGTGAGTAGTAGAACCGTGTAGCCTTGTGTGCATGTGCGTATGTGTGGTAGTGTGGGCATGTGAAGAGCAAGGCGCAGTGCAACGACCACTACCTCTATGTTTACCTGCTCACACCACAGCCCCTGCCTGTGAGTTGACTCTGTAACCATATATCCTTGTGGGCATGTGGGCATGTGGGAAATGCTTAGGGCGTATCCAGGTTCGGGTCATGAGCACTGTTCTGGCTACTGTTTGGGTCATGCGGAATTTGCGCATGACCCGAAGTGGGCTGCCGAGCCGCGTGCGGCCCCAGCTTTGGGTCAATGTGCAGGTGTTGGGCGACTGACGTGCACGACCCACCCCCAACCGATCACCTGGTTGCACGATTCTAGATTTACTGCCTTTTTTTTGCGGTCGTTAGTCGAGTGTCACACGTGGGCAATGTCCCACGTCTTACCCCTCTGCACCCAACCACTCGGCAAATTGACCCCAATGACCATTAGTGGGTCAAAAATTTCCCGCGTCGCCCTCCCAACATTTGGGGATTCACGCCGGGAATTTTGACGATTTTGTTTTTTCGTTGGGTTTCGCGTGGGTCTTGCTAATGATGTTTCGAACTGTTTTGGCATCCCTCCATTGGATGCGACTGTTGTGGGGAGCCTGATTTTGGCGCGAAAACCTTCGCGGCTCTTTGGCGTTTTATGTTGTTTGGGTCATCCGCAAATTGCGGATGCCCGGAACAGTGCCCATGACCCGAACCTGGATACGCCCTTACTGCTACATTCACTAACTCTACGACTGCCTGCTGTTGCTGTGCGACCCTCTGCCAGCAGTCCCACTTTCTTTCCGTAATCCCAGTTTCTCCTCCCTTGTCCCTTCCTCTTCCCTCCTTTGTCTGGTCCCTCCTGTTTCTCTCCCCTTCTTGCTAGGATCTATCTCGCCTGCGCACTGAAGCAGACACGGAAGGAACCAAGGCAGCAATGGAGGAGCAGGAGGCAGCAGAGGCGGTTGGCTTGGCTTCAACCCTCATCCCCTCGTGTGTTCCTCCCATGTCTCTCCCTTCATTTCTAGGAACTATCTCGCCTGCGAACCCAAGCGGACACGGAAGCAGCCAAGGCAGCAATGGAGGAGCAGGAGGCAGCAGAGATTACTGTCGACCTCTAACCCTCATCACCCTCTTTACTGCCGTCCCTCCTGTATCGCCGCCTCTCTCCAGGACCTGACTCGCCTGCGGACCCAAGCAGACACGGAAGCAGCCAAGGCAGCAATGGAGGAGCAGGAGGCGGCAGAGACTGCAGCGAGGGCACAGGAGGCAGTTCTGTTCAATGTTCCTGCGGTCAAGTGAGTGCCTTTCCAGCCAAGTGCATGTTCTTAAGCCTTTCTGGGACGTCTGACTGAAAACCAGGCACAAAGAGGCTACCTCGTGCTTGTCTTTCTCGCTGCTGGTTATCAACCCCAGGCCCGAGCCCCCGGTCGGTGCTGCTGCTGCCAACAACGCCAATTACGAGCGCGTACAACAACGCAAAGCGAAGCTCAACGAGTTTGACCGGAAATACGACGAGGCAGAGGCACCGCACTCCACAGACCAGAGTCCAGCAGCTCCGAGGCAGACACGGAGTCCAGCAGCTCCGAGGCAGACACGGAGTCCAGCAGCTCCGAGGCAGACACGGAGTCCAGCAGCTCCGAGGCAGACACGGAGTCCAGCAGCTCCGAGGCAGACACGGAGTCCAGCAGCTCCGAGGCAGACACGGAGTCCAGCAGCTCCGAGGCAGACACGGAGTCCAGCAGCTCCGAGGCAGACACGGAGTCCAGCAGCTCCGAGGCAGACACGGAGTCCAGCAGCTCCGAGGCAGACACGGAGTCCAGCAGCTCCGAGGCAGACACGGAGTCCAGCAGCCGCAAGGCATTAGAGTCCAGCTGCCGCAAGGCACCAGAGTCTAGCAGCCGCGATTAGGACCAGAGACCAGAGTCCAACACCCTTCTTAATTTAGGACTCTGGTCTCTCTCTCTCAAACATTTGACTTGATTTAGTAGCTTTCTCTCTTTCTTTCCTTCCTGTCGCACCTCAACCCCTCCTCACCCTTCCCCACCCGACCCAACGCAGGCCAGAGCCCGGGAGCAAGGCAGACGATGCTACGGCACTGATAACGAGTGGGTACAACTCAAAGCGCAGCGAGTTTGACCCCGAGTATGACAACGAGGCTGAGGCCCCGCTGTATGCCTCTTCCCCCCTTCCTCACACTCCCTTCCTCCCCTCCCCCCTCCTCTCCTCCCCCCACCACCACAGACCTGAACCCGGCACCAAGGCAGACGACGCTGCAGCGCCGATCACGAGTGGGTACAACACGAAGCGCAACGAGTTTGACCCCGAGTGTGACAACGAGGCCGAGGCACCTCTCTCTGCATAGACTCCTATCCAGCAACGCGCCTCAACCCCCACCCCTCACCCGCCACCACAGGCCAGAGTCAGGAAGCAAGGCGGACGAAGCAGCAGCGCCGATAACGAGTGGGTACAACACGAAGCGCAACGAGTTTGACCCGGAATACGACAACGAGGCAGAGGCACCGCTGGCAGAACTGGAGTTCAAAGAGTCAGACTCGAGCGTGGATAGACAACTGAAGATCAAGATGCTTCACATCTACTACTCACGGTGCGTTTGGTTTGTGTTGCGGTTTGGTTTGATGTTACAGCGTGCAACAGTGGGGACAGACAACTGAAGATCAAGATGCTGCACATCTACTACTCCAGGTGCGTGGGCCTGTATCGATCTTTATAGTCGACTCAAAGGCAGAGGCAAGGGTACGCTGGTTGGCAGAACTAGAGTTAAAGGAGTGTGGATAGACAGTTGAAAATCAAGTTGCTGCACATCTACTACTCACGGTGTGTGTACTTCCCTCTACTAATAAGATTTTAGTGGAAGTGGTTGTACTATTTATCAATCGACTAAAAGGGGCGGTAGAGGCACTGTTGGCGGAGCTGGGGTTGAAGGACTCGGACTCGAGCGTCGACAGACAGGTGAAGATCAAGATGCTGCACATCTACTACTCCAGCTGTGTGGGGTTCGGTTGATTAATGCATATTGAGCGTGACAAATATTTTCCCTTGCACGGACTACCCCCACTCCGCACGGACTACCCCCACTCCGCCTCCCGCTCTCCCCCTCTCCTCCCCTCCTCCCTTCTGTTCTACAGGCTGGAAGAGCGGTCCTGGCGCAAGATGAAGGCCTTCATCCGTTTTTGAGTCGGCTCAAAACCAGAACCTTCCCCTCTCCCCTCTCCCCCAACCCTCTCCTCTTCAGGCTGGAAGAGCGGTCTCGGCGCAAGGCCTTCATCTTGGAACGTGGCCTGCTAGACCCGATGTAACGGCCATTCCTTCCTTCCCACCCTTTCGCTTTTCCCCTCTCTCCCCACCCTCTCCCTTTCAGGCTGGAAGAGCGGTCTCGGCGCAAGGCCTTCATCTTGGAGCGTGGCCTGCTAGACCCGATGTAACGGCCATTCCTTCCTTCCCACCCTTTCGCTTTTCCCCTCTCTCCCCACCCTCTCCCCTTCAGGCTGGAAGCGGTCCCGGCGCATGGCCTTCATCCTGGAGCGTGGTCTGCTGGACCCCAGAAGAACGGTTACTCATAAAGCCTCCCCCCCTCCCCCCACCCCTTTCCCTTAAAGGCTGGAAGAGCGGTCCCGGCGCAAGGCGTTCATCCTGGAACGTGGTCTGCTGGACCCGAGACGAGAAGAATGGACGGAGCAAGGTGTAATGCAAGGCTGGGAAACCACCTTTACTGACATAGCATCATCTCTCCCCATTCTCCCTCCCTGCGTCAGGCTGGAAGAGCGGTCACGGCGCAAGGCCTTCATCTTGGAGCGTGGTCTGCTGGACCCGAGAAGAGTTGTCACTCACGCACCATCATTCCACTGCATTTCCTTCTCGCTCTTCCCGTCTCCCCTCTCCCCTTCAGGCTGGAAGAGCGGTCAAGACGCAAGGCCTTCATCCTGGAGCGTGGCCTGCTGGACCCGAGAAGAGTGGATGAGATGAATCATAATCTCAGGCCGGACATCCACCCTCTTCCTCTCACACCTTTGCACTGACTACCCCCCCTCCGCGTCCCCCTCTCTCCCTCTCCTCCCCTCCTCCCTTCCATGCATCAGGCTGGAAGAGCGGTCCAGGCGCAAGGCCTTCATCCTGGAACGCGGTCTGCTGGACCCGAGAAGAGTGGACGGAACGATTCGACCCGAATCCAGCACCGGCAGCAGGGAGAGAGTTAGGGTCCGGGACAGGACAGATGAACAACACAAGAGAGAGGATGGTGCGGAACAGGGAGGGGAGAGGGAAGGGGGAACTCTGGGGGAGGTGGGGGCAGAAGCGGGAGAGGGAGGGGGAGAGAAGGGGGAAGGGGGAGGGAAGCGCGGAGGGAAGCGAGGAGGCGGTGGGGAGAGGAGAAGGTCGAAGGAGGAGAGGGAGATGTTTCTGCGGTGCCGCGTGTTTGCGAGGTTTCTCAGTGCAGAGGAGCACGAGGGGCTGGTGCAGAGCTTGACCCAGGCACAGCGACTCAGAGACAGAGTGGCCGTGCTGCAGGTGAGAGCGGCTTGCTTGTGGGATGTCACTGTTTCTAGGCGCCTCAAAAAGCGAGGAGGCGGCGGGGAGAGGAGAAGGTCAAAGGAGGAGAGGGAGATGTTTCTGCGGTGCCGCGTGTTTGCGAGGTTCCTGAGTGCAGTAGAGCACGAGGGGCTGGTGCAGAGCTTGACACAAGCGCAGAGGCTGCGAGACAGAGTGGCCGTTCTCCAGGTGAGGCTTGTGGTTTGTCTGAAGTAGCACCTAGTAGTACTGCTTTTTTTGAGTGCGGAGGAGCACGAGGGGCTGGTGCAGAGCCTGATTCAGGCGCAGAGACTCAGAGACAGAGTGGCCGTGCTGCAGGTGAGGCTTCTAGTTAAAATAGGACCTAGTAATCCTAACCTGGCGCTCTCAGGAGCATGAGGGGCTGGTGAAGAGCTTGACTCAGGAGCAACGACTCCGAGACAGAGTGGCCGTGCTGCAGGTTAGAGCAGCTTGCTTGTAGATATTTGAGTGCAGAAGAGCACGAGGGGCTGGTGCAGAGCCTTACCCAGGCGCAGAGGCTCAGAGACAGAGTGGCCGTGCTGCAGGTGAGGCTTGTGGTTCGTTATAATGGCACCTTGTGGTATCAGCAGTAGCGCTGCTTCACGTTTCCTAGGAGCACGAGGGGCTGGTGCAGAGCCTTACCCAGGCGCAGAGGCTGAGAGACAGAGTGGCCGTGCTGCAGGTGAGGGCAGCCGTCTCGTGTGATGGATGGTGGTAGCGGGAATTGTCCAACATTCTGTCTTCTCCTTTCCTTTCATTTTGTTCTTGACAGGAAGCTGAGTGCAGCTGGGTACAAGTCGCCGGCAGAGGGTCGCTGATTCATTTAGGCTTACTACAAGAAGAACCCCGCCCGCACTGCTGCTGCTGCTTCAGATTCACTCTCTTCTCATCCGCTGCCACCACCAACAGGAGCTGAGAGCAGCCAGGTGCAAGTCGCCAGCAGAGGGCTGTCGTTTATAAGTGTTAATGCACCTCTTCCTCACCTCTCCTTTCCTTCATCCCCTCCCATCCCCTCGCATCCCCTCGCATCCCCTTCCATCCCCTCCCATTCCCTCCCATCCCCTCCCATCCCCTCCCATCGCCTCCCATGCCACCCCCTTCCAGGAGCTGAGAGCAGCGGGGTGCAAGTCACTGGCAGAGGGGCGTCGGTTCATCCAGGCCCATTACAAGGACAACCCCGCCGCTGCTGCTGCTGCCATCGCGTGCCTTCCACCCTCCGCCACAGGTGTGTGGAAGCTAGCTAGCACGAGCACATGTGTCTCTGTGCTACAAGGACAACCCCGCTGCTGCTGCTGCAGCTGCCGCCATCGCGTGCCTTCTACCCTCCGCCACAGGTGGGGTATGCACCCTCCGCCACGGGTGTGTGAAAATTAGCTAGCACGAACAGATGCATTTCAGTCAGTACTACAAGGAAAACCCTGTATCTGCAACCCCGCTGCTGCAACCCCGCTGATGCTGCTGCTGCCATGATGCGCCTTTCCACCACCTCTTGTTACATTTTCTTTCTCTGTCATCAAGCTCGTGTTTTCTCCCCTCCCTTTCCTTCTTCGCCAGTTGCACTCACAGCAACCAGCACAGCACCATCAGCAAGAGGTCCCTCCTCCCCATCACCTCATGCCCCATCTTCCCTGCTCCAATGCCCCGCTTGTTCTTCAACCCTCTGCCACTTTTCCCGCACTTCCTTTGTTCCTTTACCACCTGCGCCACCAGCCATTAGCACAGCATCATCAGGAGGCCCCTCAGCTGCTCTTGACATCTCCTCCCACCCAGGATGCGACCTTCTATCAGCCAAGGTGAGAGGTCCCTGCTATTTCCCTCTCCAATAGTATCTCGTTCTTGTACGATTTCACTGTATTTAAGTGTCAGCCAAGGTGAGATTATAAGGGTGGGGATTTGCCAACCATCTACATGCTTTATACTTCAATGTCATGCCAAGGTTCTTCCCTTTCGTGCTGCTTTCATACCTCTGTTGTGTTGCTGTTCTGCCTCCAAACTGTCTCTGCTTGTGTAGTCTCTCATTTGCTGACTCCTGTTCAGTCCGTGGCTTTTCCCTAACCTCTTTCCTTCCTCACCACTTCCCTTCTGTCCTCCCATTAACCCATGCATCCCATTGCCATCGTTCCACATGTGGGTGTCTTCTGGATCATGACAAACAATGCAAACGCCAAACCATGCCGTTCGCTCAGGAGCGAGAGCTGTGCACGCACATGCGCCTGCTGCCAGCACACTACCTCCGGGCCAAGCAGGTGAGATTTTTACAGCAGGCGTATGACGAGCCGGCTAAGTAGGCTCAATAATGCACTATAAAAAAAAATAAAAAGGTTTAGGGCAGTACAAAGTACAGAGCGTAGACTAGCCTGTTCCTACATGTGGTCTTTCTAAGTATTTTGTAAAGGGAAGAATGGGTCTATCTCTAACTGTAAGGGTATGATGAGCCTACTGAGTAGGTTCAACAAAACAGGTGAGCTTGGTGAAGACGGTTTTCGGGGAACACTGAATCCAGGCCTCTAAAGACCCAGGCCACCTGTTTTCAAGAAACCAGGCCTCTAAAGATCTACTTACTGACCTGCCTCCTACATTGCATGCCTCCTGGCGTTTGCCCCACCCCCTCCTTTTGAGACGTCTCAAAGTTGTTTGGAAAACTCGGAATCCGGGCCTCAAAAAAGACCTACCTACCTACCGACGTATACCTCCTGCGATTGCATGCCTCCTGGCGTTTGCCTGCACCGACTCCTCCGCCTGCCCCCTGCCACCACTGACACCATGTGCCATGCCACATTACGCACCGCACAGCAGCAGTGCATAGGCTGTTCCGCCTGCCCCCACCATTTTCCCTGGCCTTTGCCTCACCCTTCCCCTCCCTCCCCTCTCTCCCCTCATTTCCCATCCAATCAGGTCATCTTACTGCAAGCAGCCGTCTCAGGGAGAGCCGTCTAACGCGCAGCAGTGCACCGACTCTTCTTTCTGCCCCCCGCCACCACTCACGTCATGTACCCTTCCTCTTTCCTTCCATCCCCCGTTCCCCTCTCCCCCATCTCAACAGGTTATTTTGCAGCAGGCAGCCCTCTCAGGAGGCACCATCTCAAGAGCAGCAGTGCACCGACTCTTCCGCCTGCCCCCGCCATCACTGATGGCATGTCCCTTGCGTTTTCTCCCTACATCCCCCGTTCCCCTCTCCCCCATCTCAACAGGTTATTTTGCAGCAGGCAGCCCTCTCAGGAGGCACCATCTCACGAGCAGCGGTGCACCGACTCTTCCGCCTGCCCCCCGCCACCACGGACACCCTTTGCCCTGTTTCATGCGCACACGGCCCCCTCTCCGACCCACTGCCCACCCATCCCATCAGGTCATCTTGCAGCAAGCAGCCCACTCAGGAGGGGCCATCTCGCGAGCAGCGGTGCATCGACTCTTCCGCCTGCCCCCTGCCACCACCGATGCCATTTTTAGACTCTTGCTGGGGGCCGGGTGGATAGCTGAAACTGGGGGAAACAGTTCTGGTGGGGGGATGGGAGGGGCGATGGTAGGGGGGATGGTGAAGCAAGAGGGAATGTGAGATCAGGTTGCCCCCTGCCGCCACTGACGGAAATTTCAGGCCCTTGCCAGGGGCTGGCTGAATGGCTGAAGCTGCCGGTTTGGGTGGTGGTGAATCAAGCAACATCTAATTGCCAAAGCCACTGTGTACTCGCATCTACTGGTATCAGTTAGTGTTTTTCCGTGGTTCTGAGGTGTAACAATTGCTAAATTCCTAGAATGTTCACATTCTTGGTGGTTGATAGCAGGACATCAGTGGATTGATTGTACCGAAACCTAGATATCAAGTCGCAGTGTGCAATCCTATACAGACATTCCATTCACTGATTATACGGTAACAAGGTTTTGTCCCCCACACATGTTGACGAGCAGCGGGGAACACGCTGCCAGGTTCACGCCTAATCCACGCCTTCTTCACGCCTTACCGTATTTTCGCCTTCTTCACGCCTTATCTACGCCTTGTTTATGCCATCCTCTCGCCTGAGGAGTAGCGAAAATGACGAATCTGGCGAGACGCGTCGTACGCCCAGCGCGAATAATAATCTGTTTTCGCTCAGATGGGCTGTGCGCTGGTCGTAAAGTCCCACGGCGGGAATTTGAAATGGTTGCTGCTCTCTCGGGCAAAGTTTCACCGACTTCGAGAAAGATTAAGTACCGTCGAAATCTAGTTTCCTCATGCCAAAGTTATCGTTTTGCTTATCATTCTCCTCACCAAGCTCGTCGGCTCTTCCTCTTGCCAACAAGCGAGCCGAGTTCACAATGGCGTCGGCAACTGCAAGGCTTCTGGAGGAGATTATGAGTGTAGGGACAAAGATAGCCGTTCGATTCGATGATGCAAGGAGGGAGTTGGAAGCGGAACAGCGACAGAGAAACTCTTCGGAAATCATGGAGAGCCCAATGCTGACTGATAGATTGGAAAAGCTGGAGAAACTTTTAAAAGAAACGAGGGAGGAGAACATCGACAGCATAAACGAGCTTAAGAATGAGTTAGCAGCTGAGAAGGCTGCAAGGGTGGAAAAGGAAAAGGAGGTGGCTGCACTGACAGTGCGACTCTCGCAGGCAGAGGAATCTCTGTCGCATCAGAAGGAAGAAACGAGCAAGATTTGGGAGGTGAGCCAAAACATCTCCAAGCATGTTACCCAAGCGTAAAGCATACGATGCCCACTCACCCCATGTTTAACGTTTTTTTACGATGTGCTTGTTCCAGGCGATTTCACAGACTTTGTGTCAGTCAACGACTGGTACGGTTCATCAGGATGAAGGACGGTTTTCAAGCAAGGAGATGGAATCACTTGTGTCTACATTGGTAGCGCAGTCTGCGCAAGCCGTAAAGACGTTGGAGCAGCAAAAAGAGGAAATGAAGAAAGTCAGGGAGGTGAGAAACTAGTATGTTGGGTGCTTGTATCTGAACTTGTGCATTTTTCACCGCCTGCCTGGCTAATCTCCAAGGTGTTGATGCTTCCAGGCTATTTGTGCGACTGGATATCGGAGTCCTAGCAGTGCAGATTGGAAGATCATGTATCACCCTGCTAACATTTCGGTATTGGAGCTCAGCAGGAACGATGGAGCAGCTACTTGGATTGGACTTCAACACCTATGGTACTTGACCTCCCTAAAGAGCCTCAAGATTTTCCAGAGTGTCGACTTATGTGCCTTGAACAAGCCCCTTGATACCATGACATGGCTGGAGCAGCTGAAACTCGAAAACAGAGTCTGGTGTGATTATTCGGTTCTGCAAATAAGCAACTTGACATCCCTCCGTCGACTTGAACTGATCGCGACACAGGTTACAGATGCTGGCCTTGCACATCTGACACGCCTTAGCTCTCTCACCGTTCTTGTTCATTCTAATGGCTATGACTACCCCTCATATAGCGAAGGAGGCTATATATCATCAGCTGGCATGGTGCACGTGGGGAAGCTGACGAATCTCGAAGTACTGGATATCAGTACTTTGAGGGTGTACAATGACGGGTTAGCCCATCTCGTGCCCCTGTCAAGGTTGACCTGGCTCAGCTTGCCAGATCACATCACTGCCCAGGGCATGAAGCACTTGAAATGCTTCAAGTGCCTCAAGACAGTTTGGTTGAGGACTTCATTTCATGATTCTCAGGATGCCATGGACTGTTTGAAGGCTCTTCCCTGCCTTGAAAAGGTTGGAGTGAGTCGCACTCAGACAGCACGCAGAATCGCCGAGGAGCTCCCTAATATTAATGTTATTGACACTCATGACGATCTGAGCTGTATCCTGCATGATATCCGGGCGGATTGAAATTCTCATTGACGTTTAGGAGGCAAGAGTGCTTGTAGTTTAGTTGTCCGTCCTGTCCTGTGTGACCTACATCTTGTCTACACAAACAGTGATTGTCCTCATTTTAGCCTCAAAATTGGATTGTAAGTTCCAATCCTATCACTAGGAATATTGATTCTCTTTCTGTACGTATCATTACAACTTTAGCATATCCTTAATCCTTTGGTTGCATAGAGGAATCAGCGCAGCACATGGCCACACGACACAAACAACATGCACTCTCGAACACCACCTCCACAGCCTCCACTCCCCCTCCTCCCGATCCCGTTGTCAATCCCTACTCCTCGTACCCCTCAGTCCCTCTCTCTCCCTCCCTCCCATCCTCCGCCCTGCCTGTTCCTACGCCCCTCCTCTTCCTCCTGCTCATCCCCTCTGCCTCATCACCCCACATGCATTCTGCTGCCGGCTACCCCAACCCCCCGTGCGTGTGTGTGGGTGAGAGCAAGGTTCTGGGTGTGTCGAGAAGACACCTGGATTGATGGGCTCCCAGCACCAGTGGCACTCCTGCTCCTGCTACAATGCCCGTTCAGTACCTGCAGCAGTGCTTATTACAAAACATGCTACAGGTTCCATTCTGTTCCAACGCCGACACCACCAGGTTTGAATCCTACTCCCGCCAGTTTGAAGCTGGGAACCTCATGAGGACAGCAGGGCAAGGAGCAGCAGAGACATCATTACTACTGGCACCCGAAGCAGCAGCAGGACCACTGGTTAGTAGAATGTGGAGGAAGTCAACCGTAAGAAGTTCCTTTTACCAAAAGAGCTTGCTGGAAGTCAGCATGTATCAGTGCCTGTTCGTATGCACCTGCTCGTAGTACAGCTGATGCTGATGCGGATGCTGCTGCTGGTTCACCTTCTACAGCTAATTCCTCGCCCCTTCTTCATCCTCGTCACCACTCGCCCCTCCTCTGCTCGCACTTGCCCCTCCTCTACTCCCAATCTCCCACTACCTCCTTCTACCTTCCTCTGACACCACTCTGTCCCCACCAAGTCCAATAGCCATCTGCTGCCTCTCTGCCTGCCTCCCTTCCTGCTGCCTTATTTGCTTCTACTTTCCCTTCCGTAACACTCAGCTGATCAAGGGACGAGAGCTGTTTCTCCTGCTGTCCACTAGCTTGCTACACCTGCTTCCGTTGCCGGAGCTACTGAAAAGTGGCTCAATGATAATGTCTTAACTTGCCTCTTCACTCCCTGCTGGGACAAAAAAGAAGCCACACTACTCCGTTTATGGGAAGGAATACTGCTGCACTTGTTTCCTTGCCCTTGGTTAGTCCCCTGCTACTACCTTCCTTCTTGATTCACCAAATGCTGCTGCTACGCCTCGTCCTCATGCTGCTGCTCCTGGTGGTGCTGCCTTCTCTGCCGCCGACGGTCAGAAATCATGCTGCTGAGACGGCTCGTGCCAGTGCACAAGGGCGAAAGGGGCAGACGGGGCAGATGGGGCAGATGGGGCAGATGGGGCAGATGGGGCAGATGGGGCAGATGGGGCAGATGGGGCAGAAGGGGCAGAAGGGGCAGACGGGGCATACCCATTAGCCTGTGGCTCAGGAAATTGGGCATTACTGGCCTGGCACGCTGTCAACCATTGGATCATTAACCGGCAGATTGGGTGGATGGAATGGGATAGATAAAAGATTGTAGGGTGTGTCACGCAACACCTCCTGTGCCAAAGGGAGGAGGGCCTGTGGTGCCAATGGATTGCTGGAACGGGCTGTGAGGTCGGCTGAAAGGCTTGTTGCGTGCCATGACATGACTGTTAGGAGGCACAGCACATGTGACAAGTCGCTGGATGGTGGTGGTGGTAACACTGAAACATGGTAACAATGTGGTTGTGGTGCATCCGACTTTGGAAAAATGAATGACAAGCACCTGCCGCTGCTGCTGCAACTTCCCCAATTGCTGTTGTTCCACGTGCCACTGCTGCTTCATTCATGGCGTATGAAGAGAGCTGCTGCGTTGGGGGAAGGTGCAATAGGGGGAGGTGCGACAGCGGGAGGTGCGGCAGGGGAAGGTGCAAGAAGGGAGGCGCGAAAGGAAAAGGTGCGAGAGAGGAGGTGCAGAAAACCGATTCCACTGTCGTATTGGCTGGCGCCAATGCTACTAGCTTGCCGCTTCCAGCATCGGGTGCATCAACAGGTACTTGTGCCAGGTGTTTCATCAGGTGCTGCATAAAAAAAGCCATCCCTATCCATCTGTCAATCCCCTCTCCCCAGCTCACACACTCCCTCTCACCATCTCGCCCTCTCACTCTTCACCCCCTCCCCACACACTCCCCTCGCTTCCCTCCTCCTCCTTGGCCTCTCTGTTCCTTCCTCCCCAAGCGGCAAAAAGTGCTCCAACAGAGGTGTGATTCGTCTGCTGTAAGGCCGGTTGAAGGTTTTGCTGCAAGCTGGCTGTGTGTCCCCAGCGACTGTGACGGGTCAGAGGACGGTGGTGGTGGTAACATGGTAACATAGCAACACTGTGCTTATGGTGCATCTGACTTTGGAGAGTGCAGCAAATGGAGGTGGGACAGGGGGAGGTGGGACAGGGGGAGGTGGGACAAGGGGAGGTGCGACAAGGGGAGGTGCGACAGGGGGATGTGCGACAGGTGGGGGGTGCAACAGGGGGGAGGTGCGATTGGGGGAGGTG